TGGGTTGGATGCCCATTTTGTTGATGTTTAAGAACTGAATCAAGACTTTATTCTGTTGGACATACGGCAGGAATCGAAGAGGTGTAACCAGAGGTTTGATGAATTGAAGGCTTTCTTAATTCGGATACGAAACGGAACCGTCTATAAAGAACACCCAGGTCGGAACATACGGGGTGCTCCAGAGCCTTGTTTCTCAGAGGGCTGAGCTGGGATTAACCTATTCAAGACACCCGTCTCCAAAAGGGTTCTGTATTGGTCATGATTTTCCCATAGGAAGCATTCTGCTGCCGTTGACCTCTGTGTCCTCTTGCAGTACAAAAGACTATTCTTTCCATGGGAATGTAGCTGGAGAATAGCAGCTTGGTGTTAGAGCCGATTGTGTAGCGGGCCTGTGAAGGGAAATCAGTATCTGGAGCACATTTCTTGTTTTCCCCATCTCTGAAGTCTTCTGGAGAATGCTTCTGCTCCCCCCTGTGTCCTGTGTTGGAGGAGAATTCAAGCTTGGTTCATGAGGTTTGCTGGAGGAAGGGAGATTTGGCTTCCCGTGGTCTCTTCCTCGCTTCTTTACGGAGCTTCTTTCCAGCTTCTTGTTGTTGCTGATACTGGGATGATGTTTGGGCTCGTGTTGCAGCCCAGAGCTCTGCTTCTCAAGGACGTTTTATTGAAGGGGTCAACGTGGTGATGGCATCTACAGCATCAAGGCTATGAAGCACCTCTGCAGTCCAGCAAAAGGCAAGAAAATCTGCTCTCACACCACATATTGTTGGTGTGTGAATGATCTAAAATTTGACTGTTTCCCGTTTCTTTTGTCAGGGAATTTCTTTGATTTCACTTGTTTTCAGGGGGATACTTACAGTGCCAAGGTTCTGACATTGTAATGGTGAAACCCTGTCCATAGGGAGGGCCGAGGGGAGATGAATGAGACTGTCCATGGAGAATGAAAATCAACAAGTGGAATCAATACCAAGGATCACTCCAGCTTTTCTGCTCTGTGTCTCTAGATGTGGCTCAAGATATGGAATACCTGTAGCTCTGAGCAGGTGGGAATGTGTCCCTATGGGATGTGGAAATTCCAGCATGCGAAGGAAGTATCATGTGAATATGGCCTTGTCCTCTATAGATCAAGACAATAATCGGAGTCCAAATCAAAACCTTCCTTTTAATTTGGCAGTGCAATTTTGAAGTGGTCTGTCCAATTTTGTCTTGAGATGCTTCAAAGAGACAGGTCGAGTGCTTAAAACGTGTTAGGTCTCCCTGGGAATGCTCTGGTGTGGGTGGGGGAACAGAGGGACCCTCTTTGGATCCTCCTTTCCCCAGCTCTGTATTTTACATGGAAATTCCTGGGCTAAAATTCACACTGAAAGTTTGGGTATGGGACTACTTTAGACTTGCACGATGGAGCAAGTTATTTTATGTATTGAAGAGCAAGAAAAGCCAGTACAGATCAGAGCTTTTTTTTCAGCCTTACTGGCTGCAGTGTGTTGTGCTCCTGTGGCTATTATCAATACTACCTGATCCAAGAAAGCTTTAGCAAAGCAGCAGATTGCTCCTTCTAAAGGCAGAAAAGCTTTCCTAAGCTTGAGACTAGTTTTGCCTCCGTTTACCACAGACCGGTGTCGTTTGGGCTGCTGCTGCCTGTGAATGAGATGTGTGAATGAAGAGTTGGGCAGAGGAACCTCATGAGGTTCAACAAGGACAAGTGCAGGGTCCTGCACCTGGGCAGGAATGACCCCAGGCATCAGCACAGATTAGGGGTTGACCTGCTGGAGACCCGCTCCATGGAGAGGGACCTGGAGTCCTGGTGGACACCAAGTTATCCATGGGGGAGCAGGACCCTCGTGGCCAAGGAGGCTAATGGGCTCCTGGCTGCACGAGGAGGATGTTGGCAGCAGGGCAGGGAGGGGATCCTGATCCTGCTCCTCTGTTCAGCCCTGGGGAGGCCAAACCTGTAGCACTGGGGGCAACTCTGGGCTCCCCAGGACAAAAGGGATGTGGAGCTGCTAGAGAGGGGCCAGTGCAGAGCAACAGAGATGAGGAAGGGCCTGGAGCATCTACTGTATGAGGAGAGACTTGAGTGACTTGGGCCTGTTTCTTCTGGAGAAGAGAAGGTTGAGAGGGGACCTGGTCAATGAGTCCAAGTACCTGAAGGGAGGATGGAGGGAGGAAGGGGCCGAGCTCTTCTCGGTGGTGGCCAGTGGCAGGCCAAGGGGCAGTGGGGACAAGGTGACACCCAGCAGGTCCCATCTCCACGGGAGGAAGAGCTGCTGCACTGGGAGGTGCCCGAGCCCTGGCCCAGGCTGCCCAGGGAGGCTGCGGAGGCTCCTGCTCTGGGCATCTCCCCAAGCCGCCCGGGTGCCACCGGGTGCCCCGTGCTCTGGGTGTCCCTGTGGAGCAGGGGCTGCGCTGGGGGAGCTCCAGGGGTCCCTGCCACCCTCAACCCTTCTGGGGTTCTGTGAACCGTTGCTCTGCCTCACACTGCTCAGTATGGAGCACACTGTGAATTAAGTAGATTATAACATAACGCGCTTTCCAGTCAGGATAACAATCAGCTGGAAAAAGAAGGCCTTGGGGTTATAAGAGTGAGGGCACTTGATGTTCTCCTTGCCAGTGTTGCATTGTGAACAGCCAGCAAATAAATGATTGGGCTTATTATGATGAGGTGATTAAAGCCTCCAGGAATTGAATTATTACATCTGAGAGCTTTCTGTCTCCTTGGGAAGCTCTTTTGCAAGTGTCCGTGGCTTATGCTGGGCGATGTAGCTGTGCTGTGATGCCCTCTTCCATCCCACCTCTGTCCCAAGCAACCCCCGGATAGTATTTGCCATGGGAGGAATTGCTGGCTGGTTTATTGGACATATGTAAGTGAAGGGGAAAGCATCTTAAGTGAAATTATACTGATACATAGCTGAATTTGTGTGATCCCTGCAACAAAAATGTCAAAAGTGGAAGGAATGGCAAGAGGGTCTAAATAACTGCTTAGTGTATGTTTAGTTTGGTGGTTAAGAAGCCTTAAAGCCAACCTTGCTGTTTGCCTCGGTTTCCTCCACTATATTCCTAAACGTCACTGCATTTGGTAGCCCAGGTGGATTGGAGGTGTGACCATCCATATGTCAGCACAGCTTCTTTAATCTATATATGCTCCAGAAATAGAACATGTTGTGCAGCAAAGTTATAAGGAAACATCCTGCTGCCCACTTGGTTCCAGCCAAACCTTTTTGCTGTCCCAGATTTGCAGTCTTGAAAAACTCCTTGCTGGCACAGAGGAGCCCCCTGAATGGATTCTGCTTTAACCGTCGTCCTAAGATGGGAAAGTTTCCTTTGAGCTCCGTTTGCAAAAATAACTTTGCATGTGAACTGCTGCTGCCTTAAACTTTCATGTGCACTTGCACAATACGTCTAATAAAGAATTTAAATGTGCAGCCCTCTCAAAAATTGAGCAAATGCAAGTACTCCAAAGCTAACGTGGTTTTCCCTTAATGAACGCTGATGTTTCACATCATGCAAAGCAGTTGCTGAGTTTTCTTCTATGCATCTTTACAATTAGAAGTCAACGTTTGCAGGCAGTAGCCAAAACCACTGTCAGCAGCTAAAGACTGCTCAGAAACGTAGGCCTGGTGCTCTTCAGTCACTGAAATAATAGATTTTATGTGTTATTCCCAAGTTAGTCATAGAATAAGGCTTGGAAAGGGCAGCGTGCTCCTTCCACCCAGCCCTAGAGCAACAGCAGCTATTGCTCTCTCCTTCCTTTCTGCTGCACCCAGGTTTTTAGGGATAAGTTGGTGTGATTAATTACAGGGAGGAGCTGTTGCCTCAGAGAGCCCTGTTCATCAGAAAATAGTGGTTTGCTTGCACCTTAAGATAGAGGTGGAGAATCAAACAGGGTGTATTTGAACGGTGGGAATGGAGCAGGACGTTGATGCCTACGTGGAGCACGAGGAAAACAGCTCTGGAGATGGACCTGCGTGCTCGGTGTTGCACGTGTTTGTGCCCTTGGATTTCTCATTGTCTTTTAATATTCATAAACTTTCTTACTAATGTAAATATGGCACCTTCTCGTTTGTGCATTGCTTAAGCTGGCCTGACTAATTTGTGCCTTGCTGTAATGAGTTGTCTCTGCTCTTGCAGTTGGGAAAGCCGTAAAGTTTGGGTGCTGGGAGCCAGGGGAGGCTTTGCAGGGCCCTCGCTGATCACTCAGCCTCTAAGGACAGTTTAAAGTTGGGTTTTACCATCTGCCTTTGGATTAGGGAGCTGATCTGTTTATCCGGGTGGGAAACGAATGCTTCCTAGCTGTGGCAAGACCTGCATTGGAAAAATGGGATCTACACCAATGGAAAGGAAAGAATAAGAGGTTGATGCTTCCTTCATTCTCTAAATAGCTGAGGCTACAGACTTCTGAAAATTAGTAAATGTTAATGGATTTCTGGCCTGTGAACCTCTCCAGCTTCCTCTTCTACTATACCTTCTGTTCCCTATTGTGAACCACGTGTTTTGTGTTTGGCCTGAGATCATAAGAAATCCTTTTTCCTCTGTCCAGAAACCTGCTTCGCCCTTCATTTTCGGGCCCTGCCTCACCATTTGTATGAGCTTTTTTTGTTATATCCGTTGTAAAACCAAATGGCGGGTTGAAGGTGCCCGTTTCTGAGGCCCGCTGGCCTAGGCCTAGGTAGGCCGGCCTGGTCGGAGCTCTGGCACTCGGGACGCCGAGCACCCCGGATGGTTTATAGTTGTTGGGTAGTGTGTCCTGCCTTTGTTTCCTGTACTGTGGCTACTGTATTCCCTCCTGCTTGTCCCAAGAGAAAACACCTTTCTTTACATTGGGCTGTAAATCCTCCCGAAGGGCCTTAGCACTGCCCTGCTCGTAGCTCAAGCCCTCGGAGCGATCGCCAGCGTCAGAGCCCTTCCCACAAGGCCGGCGAGGGAATTTATAATATTTCCAACTGTTTTTTTATTATTTACTATTATTTTTTTTCTCATGAACTTCCCTTCTTGCCCGCCCGCAGCCGCGCGTGCCGGCGTCTCCTCCCGCCGTGCGGCGCTCCGGGATGGCCGCGAGGTGACGACGCTCGACGATGACCCTGACTGAAAGGCTGCGCGAGAGGATTTCGCGGGCGTTCTACAGCCACGGGCTGCTCTGTGCTTCCTACCCCATCCCCATCATCCTCTTCACCGCCCTCTGCATCCTCGCCTGCTGGTAAGTCCTGCCCGGCACTTGTTTCTCCCCCCAGGTTTTCGCTGGATTCTCCGTCGCCCATTAGCGGAGCTGCCTTGGCAACAGGGATGTGCTCAGGTTTCGCTGTTGCATTTGCTGTTCCGGAATATACCATTTTTTAACAAGCTGGATTGTTGTCATCCTTTTGCGCGAGGCTAAAGAAACGTCAGGGATGAAGTATCATGATGCAGCCTATAAGTAAATAGCAAAAAATAATCAAGTAAGTGAAATAAGTCAAGCAATAAGTAAAATACATAATCACCAACCACCTATGGTGAACTCCAAAGCCGTAAATTAAACATAGGGAGGAGGAAAGTTGATCTTTCTCTCTGTTCCTGCATATTCTGTGCTCCCTGAGGCTTGTACTCTTCTTTTGCAGCCTTGTCTAGGTGTGTGTATGCTGCTTATCCTTATAAATTCTTTCCTGATTCCCCTTGTGGGCCCTAATTTGGACACGAGTTGCAGTTAAATACGTTATCAGAGAAATATTATTTGAGCCTCTAAATTATTTCCAGTGAGCTGTTATTACTCGTGAGATTGTGAAAGCTTTTGTGTTCAGATCTGTGTGTAGGCACGTGTCTACCTGTACACAGGCAGGGTTGAACAGACTTATCGGCCTCGTTTGGTCAAAATAAAACATAAACTGGTGATACTCTCCAGCTGTTAGAGAAGCTCTGTGTTGGAGTAAATGTGAACTTAAATTTTTCTTTCAGCATTGCTCAGCGTAAGGCACTTTTTGCATGTGTCTTACAAGTGCGGTGTTGGAAACCTAGAAGATTGCTTCTTGTGCCTGAGCAGGAATAGTAGTGTTGTTTTCCTGATTTTGCACAGCTGCATGTGATTCCATGTAAATATTTAGTTTAGTTTTGAGATTCCATGTCCTAAAGCAAATAGGAAGTTTCTGCTAGGTCCAATCAAATGGGTTTTAGGTTCCCTTTCTTTAGGCTGACGTGGTGACAAGTAGCAGCTGCATCTCATCAGCTCAGCTGGATGCTGTTTTCAGCCCTGCTTCTTAGCAGCCTGGTGCCCACGAGGTCAGAATTTGTACCTGTGCTGTGTGGTTTTGGCTTGTTTTTGGATAAATTTGGTCTCCCACCATGTCCCTGAGGCTTCAAAGCAGCTCTTGGCAAGGTCACTGCCCTGTATTTGTGGCAGTGTCTGTGTTACTCGGTGCTGGCATTTGAGGACTCTGCAATTACTCAATGAATTGCAGAAAGGGGTCTCGGAAAGACCCCATCAAACTTGTAGGTAACCTTCACAAAGCAAAAAGGGAAGGATTTTTAAAATTCTGTGACATCCTTTGAGAGCAGGAGCCCCCTGGCAAAAGCTCAAGTGTTACAGGCAGCGTGGCTGAAGTTCTCCTTTTTTAAAAGCTGGGTTGGTTTGTTTTGTTTGATTGTTTCAATGCCTGTTCTGGTCTCATTGATAAGAGCTGGGGTTAATTAGGTGTCACAGTGCTAATTAGGACAGGCCTAGTCCGGAATACAGCTCTTCTACACCTCGGCCTTTCCAAGACCAGCATCTCCTGGCATGGGATACTCTGCAATATTTTCACACTGGTGGCCCTGGGATATTCCACTGATTCCTCTCCCTCTCTGCTGTCCAGGCCAGGTGGTGGCTCTTGGGTTCCAGGCTGCTGCTGTTGTGTTTTGATGGGAAAAGAAGCAGGTTTCCTGCACGATCCTGCGTGTGTGGAAATGTCCCTGGCATTTGGAAGTGTCCCCAGCTCCTCATGCCAATGACAACACAAAAAAGTGGTCCAGTAATGAAATTTAGCTGCTGTTGCTGCAGAGACTGCTTGGTTTAACCTGAGTAAATGCAATTGATCCTTGTGTTTTGTGTGTTTTTTTTTTTTTTTTTTTTTTTTTTTTAATCCAAATTAAATAATCACAGGAAGGGTGTGTGTATTGGCTGGTAAATAGAACTTGTCTTGGAATGCCAGATTATCCCAGACACACTTCCCATTGCTTTCTGGCCAAAAGTGGACTTCTTGGAAATCTGGTTTTGGGCTGAAGTTTTTATGCTCCTTAGTCTGTGAAGTTTATAAAAACAGGAATGCCAAACACTTTTGAAAATACATTTTTAAGCTAGTTTGCAGTCCGTTCCGTTTGTGGTGTTTTAACAAGGTGTTAGGAGTGTTCCTGCCCTCCACCCCGCTTCCTTCCTGCTAAGCGTATTTTTTTAAGCTGAAACTCCAAGGAGTGGTGCTATAGGGAACACATATCCCCCATATCAAGTGATTTGAGAGCAGCTTCTATTTTCCCAAGTCTCCATAGCTTTGTAGCTGCAGTCCTTGCATTATTTTCTGTTCTACAGGAAACAAAACTCACTGTATCTGCATACAGTGCAATGAAACCCTATCATCAACTATAGCATATCCATGTTCCTTGGCCTATACTAGAATATAGGCCTGGAGCAAGACACTCAGCAGCTTTTCAGGCTGTCCTACCCTGCAGTCTTTCAAACATTTGTGTCTTTTCATCAGTTCCAGGAAAGTTTTATAAGTTGGGAAAGGAGGGCTGCCAAAGCCAGCGACAAGGCCTTATTTTTATTTTTTAATCACAGAGGCTGCATATATCAAATAGCATAACAGGAAGACAGGAGCAATTAAGTCACCTCCATGACTGCAGGCAACAGAAGAGGTGGGGCAGGAAACTTCAAACGTTTTGTGATAATTCCTCAGGAAAATGAGCTGTGGATAATACATTAGCTTGTTGTATGTTGGAGTTAAGGCTTGGGACTTGTCTGATGGAGCTCACCCATCCACCACATATTTGCCATATCTGCCGGCGTTTTAGGAGGCTCTTGGCCATGGTAAGGTGCAAGTTACTGGCCCACCTTGCTGCTGGAATTCCATTTGCCTTGTGCTCTTGAGAAATTTCTACTCCCTTAGGGCAAATCTGATCGATTCTTCCACCCTCAGGGAGTGGGAAGTGCTGAAATTTGGTGAAAGGGGCCAGTGGAGAAGGTCAAAGACCAGTTTCAAGGCAGAAGTTGATTTAGGCAACGTTTTGTCCAGGGTCACTGGACAGCTCTCGTTGTATTGGCATCAGTTAACGTGCTGGTATTTTTCCTGTTGGAGGAAAAAATCAAGCCTCAAGACCCAGGTAACAACCAGCTTTGGAGTAGCTGCTCCAAAGCATCCATTATAGGTTGTTGGAATTTATTTCCATCCTATCTTTAACCTTTAGGTGTTCTGTGTAGACAACATTTTTAATGTGACCTATAGGTAAGACGTGATATATCTATTTTTATTAATAAACTGATAAGTAAGCCCAAAGCAAAAAAATGCCTATATTCTTGCTCTGTGGTCTTAACTGAAATCTGAAAATCCAAGTTATATCATCTCTTACTTCAGAGCCTGGGTTTCCTGCTGAACTAGGTGCCGACAGGGCTTGCTAGTGAACTGCCTGCCCTCCTGCACATCCTGATGTGGGCGACATTCCTTATGATCATCCATTTAAGTGGATTTACGTTAAGAAACATTCCTGTTCTTGCAGGAACAAACCTCTCTCGGTGCTTTTCTTTCCCCAGCAAAAGGAGCCTGCTGCAGTAGCCTGTCCACAGAGCAGTCCCTCCTCCCCAGCTCTGAGAACAGCAGAAGAGGAGGCATATTTACAACCTGGGAAATTTGAAATTGCTTTGTTTTTATTTAAAGTAGGAGTTAAAATCCAGCAATTGACTGTGTGAAGGCAGTTTAGGAGTGTTAACAGGGTGAGTCTTTGTGGGTGCTCGTTCTTTGGCTGAAACATTAGGTTCTGCTTCTGAATTTTGGAATCCTCTAGAATCAAAGGCCACATATATAATTTTTTTTGTGTATTATGTATTTTTTTCCCTAAAAGAACATTTAGTATCTTAACAGGCATCTTGCGTGCTAACCAAAGGAGTTGAGTTGCTGACAACCCCTTCGTGTTCCAAACACACCGGGCACAGTCTCCTGTGGGAGTGAATGACGAAAGGAGATGCAAGCAAGCCCTGCGTGCCGAGAGCTCCGTGCTGCTGCTTAGCAAGAGCAAACTGGCAGCACGGAGGCAGGGGAGGAATCTTTTATTTTTTGCAATGCAATTTTTGGAAGGTCCTGCCAGCAGGAAGCGGCGCAACGCAAATTTATTCAGAAGCAGGTATTGTCTGTGCATCTAGTAGGGCTGAACAGGGGAGTGTTGCTGCCAAGTATCTGGCCTCCTCTTCCCACTGCCAGTTACTCAAAAAAACAAAAAGCTCTGGTAAATGGAAACTAAGCACAAAATGCATCTTGCTTTCTCCTTAAATACCACCTAGATTTCATGGCAAAATCAATGGAAGTGAGCTGCAAAATAAATGGCTGAGTTGCTTCCCCGTGCTGAAGAAGAAACAAGACTCTTCAAACAATTTTGGACGTCTTATTAGCAATGAGTTTTCAGATTGCAATATTTAGCTTTACCTGGAAATGGGCTAGAATCTGCTTCCAAAAGCATAGAGAATGGAGGTGGTCACTGCTTTAAGGCACCGTGTCAGCACCCTGCGTGGTACCTGAGCGGCGACCGCGCTCTCCTCGGTGCTCGCCAGCAGAGGACTCCTCTGGGACGCCGGAGATCCCTGCTTTGATCCCAGCTTTGGCCGAGAACTCGCAGTTTCAGGGTCTGCAGCCCTGGTGGGTTGGCAGCTGCCGCGGGCTGGCCTGGCAGCCCTCCAGCTTGGCCCTCTAAGCTGTCTTGAAAATATGTAAAGTAGTTGGATGAACTTTATTTATTTATTTTTTTCCTGAACCTACCTCTAAACCAAAATGTGCTCTTGCTTGAATTCAGCAGTAGTAACTTGTAGCTGATCCATTTTTCCTCACTTTGGAAGTCTACAGGAAAGTGCCAGGGTGCTTAAAAAGAACTCTTTTTTTCAAGCCCAAATTTCCTTTTTGGACTTGCCCATTACTGTTTCAGCTCCTACTTCTCTCATTTGCCTTCCAGTGTCCAGGAACTTTCTTTGGTCAAAAAGAATTCTCTTAACAAGTACTAGTGTGGTTTCTGTCATTGTTTTCACTGTCCTTTCCTGCAGCTCCATATGGAGCAGCTCTCCTGTGTGGCAGGAGGTTTGCAGAGGGGTGACCAGGTCCTTGCATCTCATAGTCCTCGTGATGTCAAGGTCCTGTGGGCGCTTGTGACAGCCCAGCAGGCAGCTCTTGGTGTCTTAGTTAACTGTCTTCTCTAGGTGCTCTTAACATTGCTCTCCGAAGCAGTACATCTAGTGAATCTTTCAATATTGTTGGATTCTTTATTTTCTCCTTTTTTTACTTCTCCTGCAGGTGTCTGTCTTGCGTAGTGCTGACTACATTGATTATTATTGTCTAGTTCTATAAGGCTAAATAAAGTGATGTCCTAAAATAACCTAGGTCAGGCATATGACAGTGCGTGCGCTTGGTGTGCTCGTCCAGCAGACATTCCTCAAACTTCTCCTCCTCAAATGCTGCTCTGATGAGTGGATCATCTCCTCTCTTCCATGGCCACGTGTCTGTGCTGGAGCTGCCTCAAGAGCAGGGAGTTTCTGCTACGATTCCCCAGAAGAAGCCTCATTCCTGAGCTCGGCTCAATAGCACGAGCAATATAAACTGTCCCTGGGTCATGTTGTCTTACATACCTATGTTTAGCTCCTACAGGCCTCATCACAGCTTTGGAGCAGGCTGTATTTTAAGGCCCAGGTAAAAGTGGATTTCCTGGGTGGCCTTTTCTGTGAAGATGACTCTGCAGTCCTCATTTTCAGCCAACAGCAGCAGCTTTGTGGTGTGCAGACAAGCTCCAAGAAGCCCCGCTCCTGCTGGACCTGTGCTGGTACCGGATGGCACAGCCGTCTGCAGCTGAAGGTGCAGGTGATACCACCACAGACGAAGGCTCCTGCTCCCCATGAAGACACCCGCACCAGTGGGTGCAACAGCAAGCAGGAAAACGAAGCAGATTGTGCTTCTAGATGTCAGCAGGGCTTTTGTTGATATAGCAGCCCGGGTAGGGAAGGAAGCTGAGGAGACCTGCAGAAAACTGGAGGCTGCAGAGGGAAAAATCTCACGCCGTTTAGCATCCAAGGAGGAAACGGGAGCTTTCCCGAGCAACCGGCAGCGCCGGGTGCTGTTTTCCTCCCTTGCTTTAGCGGCCCTGTCCAAGTGCATCCTGCAGGCAGCTCTGTGGAGCGTTAATCCTCTTCCATATTCATGATGTCGGCAGTAGAAACGACAGGAAAGGCCGGAGTCGACTTGGATGTCAGCAGGGCGAGAGCGAGCGCGGGGCTGAGGAGGAGGATGGGCCTGGGAATCGCGGTTGCCCTGGTTAGGCTGCCAGCCCTCAGCCGTGCTCACAAGTCTCCAATCTTTTTCTTCCTTCCATCAGAAACTTCCCTCTTTTTCTTCCCCTCATTCTCTCGCCCGCCTTTGTTCCAAGGAAGTGCCATTGACTCCTTCCCCGTTGTGTCTGCATGTACTTTCGAATTTTCTTTTTTGGACAACTGTTGGAAAATCCAAATATGAAGGGAGGGGAAAAAAACCCCTTTGATCTACCCGGAACAGCTACTAAGGAGCCTGAGCTGCTGTGCTAAAACGCCCGGTGTTTTGGGACGAGGTTGATCTTCATTCATGGCTGGTTCTGCTCTTTAGCATGTGAGCAGTTTGCTGCTTCCCCTCTGCACAACATCAACCTTCCCCTTCACCCCCAGTGCTTTTATAACAGCAAAAAATAAATAACCCGGGTGGAGCTTTGCTCTTATCTTGCCTTTAAGGGAAAGGTGTCATCCCCTTCCAGCTCTGCCTGCTGCTTTTCTTCACCTCCATTGTGTCCCCCTCAGGTTTCTTTCTTCCTGCCCACCCCAGCATGAAGAACTTCAGTTATTCTGCTCAAAGATATTTGTGATGAGGTGTGTGAAGCTTGGTGGCTTAATCCTGAGTCATTAGTTGTACCTACTTGCCTATTTTTGGGTCCTTCTGAGGGACTTGCTATTTTACTCACCTCTGCAGCGATCTGCAACGGGCCTTTTGGCCCCATCCTATCTTGTTTTTCTCCTTTTTTGCCCTTTTTGCTGTTGATAAAGTCTGATTATTTTCTTTAGCTGAACTTCCTTCATTCCCAACTAGTCCTACGGCCTCCACAGCACAAACTGGGGCGGCTGTGGGCAGCAGACCCGTGTGCAGGCAGGAGCTTGCAGCAGTGCAGGAGTCAATGCTGCACCTGCACTCCAGGATCTGGCAGCAGGCGCCTTCCTTGGAGGAGAAAGGGTGTTAGAGATTGTATTGGCCAAGAACCAGTATGACAGAGCGATCAAGAGATATCTCCAGAGGCTACTGATCTTTTCTTTTTAATAAAAATGAACATTTCTAACAAGTTTCTGCAGTCTTTAAGTAGAACAGGCTGCGGAGCTGCTGGCTGCGACCTGCTGAATCCGGGCACAACATCTGTGCTGAGGACTGGGCTGTCGTTTTGCCGTGGAAATTGAGGTCTCCGAACGTTCCCAGCTGTTCCATCCCTCTGGGAGCCCCCTGTTCCCCCAGCTCTGCCAGCCCTTCCCGTGCACGCTCCCTAATCCCCTCCAGGCAAAAGGCAGCGCTTACCTTAATTAAATTTAGATCTCTTTTTTCCTGATGGCTCCGGGGCAGCACTTGCTGCCAGAGGAACGATGCCAGCTTGGACAGGCTGCCTTGCAATATCCGAGCGGCAAGAGTCTATTTTTCATCTAGTCTCAGCTTGGTGCTGTTGCTTATTAGCGTTGTGCACATTAAGGGTAGCTCCTTGGAGGTGCAGGGGTTACATTGGATTTGTAAGATTGGTTCTTTTTACAGGACAAGCTAATTGGGATAGAGAGGATATAACAGCCACAACCACAAAATCCTGCCGTTACTGCAAAATCCTGCCATTGCTGCAAGGGGAATTGAGTGTCCGATGTGGTTTTTCCTCTCCCTTCCTTTGGTTAACGCTGTCCTGAAATGCAGAGGGATGCACGTGTGCATGGGGTCCTCATTAAGACTAGCTGCCTCGGAGAGTGGTCGCTCCAGCAGGGAGAAGTGCTCATCAAACTCCTTTTATGTTGGCTTCTGGTGCTGATTTTAAACAAAAAAATGAGCTCCTTCTGTCTAATAAATGAGCAGTGAAGGCTGAGCCTGCTTTATTGAACATGAGGGTGGTCGTAACAGTTCAATTTCAGGTCATTTTTTGAGAATTTTGTCTTTAATCATGCCATAATTAAGCTGAGAATTAATCTTGCACAGCTGCTTTTCCTCTCCAACTGCACCTCTATTTCCAGTCAGGGTGAGTGTGCAGCAGCAGAACTTGCCCAAGTGATTTTGGGCAACCCCATTGTGGAAGAATTGGGGGTACATTTGTCATTCCATGCTCACATATAGCACGTTCTAGCACCACCATCCTGATGCCTGAACCCCAACTTTATAGTTTGTACCTCTGTCTGGACATGATGATGCTTTTCTGCGGGGCAACTTTGCTATGGGGAGGAAGCAACTTTCAGAAACAGCCTTGGGCCTCAATCACGCCCTAGTTGTTGTGTAGATCATCTCCTTGGAGGAAGAAGCTCATTTGCTCCCTTATCCCACACATAATTTCAGGTGGGGAGCAGGGGCTGAGGGAAGGAGTCTTCTCAGCTCTACAAAGGTGCAGGGGAGATGTTGCTGCTGGTCTGCAACCCCTTCATGGGAGGGTGTGGAGAAGTGGGAGCCTGGCTTGTCTCCGAGGTGCTTAGGGGAAGGACATGAGCTGGACCATGGGAAATTGTGACTAGATGCAAGGAAAATAGTATCCACCATGAACGTGGTCACATCTGATACCTGGAGAGGCTGTGGGACGTTCATCCTTGAGGATACTCAAAACTTGCTTGGACTTGGTCCTGAGCAGCCTCCTCTGGTCCTGATCTGAGCAGGGTCCGCGCTGGAGCCTGGAGGTCCCTTCCCCACTAATGGTCCCGGTGTCATCCCCTCATCGGATCAAACATCTCCATAACGACCGTCTTGCTCTTCCTCCCGGTTCAAATCTCCTGGGATTTTTGCTGACTTTATAGAAATCATTCAATCAACTCCCAAATCGCGTGGAACATGGACTGTTAGTACCGTGTTTATTGTGGGATAGCTGCTGCAAACACTTAAGGATTGTGGTAGCAAAGGAGCCAAAAGATAAGCGTTTCGTGCTCATTTTGGTATCTCATTGCTGCTGGAAAAAAGTGCTTTGGAGACGTATGAATTTTATGTGAAATAGTGGAAATGGTCAAAATCTCAGTGGGGAAATTTGGGTGGTTAGTGTGGGGTCCAGGTTGGGAAAATAACAGCCTAAATGTGACGGTGATTTTGTTTTTGTGAAGGCTACGGAATAGCTGAGAGGTGGCCCTAGTTAATCCCGTGCCATTAGCCCAGGTAAAGGCTCTGTAGTGGAAGGTGAGTCTGCTGATGAGTCCTGGAGAGCTCGCCTGGAGAATCCTCCTGGAAATATCCCTTTCCAAGAGTGAAATACCAAATATCTTACTAGGAGAAACAGATAGAACAATTCCTCTGAGATGTAAAGCCGTCTTGTATTGCAGCTGTGCGGATTTTTAGTATTTAATTGTGCTTTTTTTAACGTTTCATGCTGCTTTGCTTGTGTATTTCTCTTAGTTACCCGCTGCTTAAGCTGCCCTTGCCTGGCACAGGACCAGTGGAGTTCAGCACCCCGGTGAAGGACTATTCCCCCCCTTCTGCAGATCCCAACCTCCAGCAAGGGGATCTCAGCGAGCGTCCCGACTGGGTAGGTCCTCTGCATCACGGCTGGGGGGGACAGAGGGGACACGAGGACTCGAAGCACCTCTTTTGCTTCAGATCCTTCTGTGTATTCCTTAAAATGCCGTTACAACTTGCAGGCTTATTTTTTGCTGCTGGTCTAGCTGGTCTAAGCCTGCTTGCTAAGGTCTCCAACAAGAGTTTTGCATTTAAATTGGAATTAAAGCAGCCACAGATCCCGCTGCAGAGCTAACTGCTGTGGTGGGGCCTGGGGAACGTTGGGTTGTTTGAAGAACCTAATGAGTCAAGCGTTGCTTAAAAGGGGTTATTGGATTATTTTTTTACTGACTGGTAAAATTGTGAAGGTAAAACAGACTTGTGTGAGAGTAAGAGCTTGACTTTCTTTTGCATAAACAACCTGGAGCCCTGGTGCTTTCCAAGAAGGTTGATAACACGGTGTAGGACACCAAGAAACAATTCAAAGATCCTACACTGTTCTTCATCCCAGTGTCAGTGGCGTTTTGACCCTTTGAGGAACAGGCTCTTTCCATTCTTGCTCAGCTGCCACTGTCACATTTCACCTCTAATTTGTGAGACAAAATTAGATCCTGGTAAGGTGCTCCCTGAAGAGATGCCAAGCGGTGCTGTGGTTCTGCTGAAGAGCTTCCCGCTCACTGTGTTCCCCTTTTCCCTCTGGCTTTCCCCGCAGTACGTCGGCGCTCCGGTGGCCTACATCCAGCAGATCCTTGTGAAAGCCACCGTGTCCCCGTGGCAGAAGAACTTCCTTGCCGTGGATGTGTTCCGTTCGCCGCTGTCCCGCGTCTTCCAGCTGGTGGAGGAGATCAGAAACCATGCCCTGAGGGACAGGTAGGCAGTGTTGGTAAAGGCTGTGGGCAAGGCAGACCAAGCCACTGTCACACACACCCGCGTTCCAACTTGCTGCTTAGCAAGTCTCACTTTTAGCTTTGAAATTCTGCAGTTTTTAAAGTTTAAAGGCCCATCAGAGACCGTTGTTGGTAAGTAACATCATTCCCATCCTGCACGTGGAGTCCTTCAGCTTTCATGCTGCAGAACTTGCCTCCTGTGAAAGGCTTAGGCAGAGGGGCCTGGACAGATCCCCCCAGGCTCTGCTCTCCCATGGTGTGCGGTTCTTTCATAAACATGCAAGCCTTGCCTTAAAACAAGTAATTAAAACAACTTTGATAAGGAAGGCTCTGGATTCAGATTGTCATCCTGGTTGGTCTTCTCTGCGCTTTTCTTGTCCACAACTTGGATAAGGAAGGCTCTGGATTCACATTGTCATCCTGGTCAGTCTTCTCTGCACTTTTCTTGTTCCTCTATCTTTCCCAAACAGGAAAGATGAGAACTACATGCAGTGTTCCGAGTGAAATCTCATTTGTGGCGGATTCTCCCTGGAAATGCAGGGAGAATGACCCATTCTACAATTTAGTGAGGTTGCTGATGTCTTTTTTGTGGCCACTCACATCAGTGTCACATACTTGTCTGGTGGTGGGTATTCCAGCCCTCCCATCAGCCGTTTCAGATATTCCATTCCCTTTCTGTATTAACAATATTTCATAATTTTTGTGTCATTGGCAGATGTCCCGTTATTTTACTGCAATTTCCAAAGCAGAAAACTAAAATCTTGATTCTCCTGTCTGTCCGTGAGAAGTTCCACTTTGTTTTCCTCTTTCAGCAACCCTGTAATCATCTTCCTGTTAGGTAGTTCCTTACAGCCTTGCAGTTTTTGTATTAACACCTGCCTTTTGTGGTAACCAGTACATTGCTGTGGGATACTGGATCAAAAGCTTTTCCTCGCCCAAGGAAATGAGAGCTATTGTGCCTTCCTTGTCCATAAAATCAGATATTTTAAAAGAGCTAGCAGATTAGTCTGGCTCATTCTACCTTATTCCACTCTTAAATCAAGAGTGCATTTTATGTTATTGCTTTGCCTGTTTTTGTGCATTTTATACTCATTACTTTGCCTTTTTTTTTTCTTTTAATATTCTTTCCTTCTGGTTTTAAATTCTCATCTGCTGTCAAGTTCTTGGCTCACTTTACTTTCTAAACACAGCAGAGCTTCCCTACTTTTCTTCCTATGCTCAGTGAGAGTAATGATGCTGAGGCCAAGCATGCAGAAAGGCTGTGAGGATGGAGGTTTTGATCATCTAGTAGCTTTTTAGTGATTAAAAAAAAAAAGAATAATAAAAGCCCTTCCAGGTAAGCTCACTGTCTGCTCCCTTCCTGATCATTTTTAGTAGTGCCATTCATGCAGTTAAATACGGAGCACCTTTTTACCAACTCACGAAGCCTTGGCACTGACATCCTTTCTACAGCCTTTTCAGCTTATCTGCTCCCTTATCAAATGCCTCATTTCAGGTGATGATCTCTGTGCATTTGCCAATGACAAGCTAGAAACAGCTTCCTCCTGGTAGGTGTGTTGTCTTCTTCTTAGGTTGCCTTGGTGTGATGTTCTGCTTAAGCAAAAGAGAATTTACAGAGCTAAGAGAAGCAAGGGGCTAGGGGATCATTTGGGCTTAAACCTTGGTAAAAGGGCTCCCATATCAGTGGTCATTATGAAACTCTTTATTGTCAGTTTTATTTTTATAAAAGCATTAAATTGTATTTTTGCCTGATACAACAAGTGCAACTTTTTTATGTGCCAAAGATATTTTATACTGCAATAGTGAAGGAATAGCTGAAGATTTTTGACAACTGCAGAGGAAACAGAAGGCGATTGTACTTTCATCAACTCTAGAATTGCTGAAACTTCATACAAAATCAGAAGTACTGTGAGATTTTAGTAGTGCAGCAGACACTTGCTTTATGGGGTTTTCCTTCGGTATTCTGCATCCTGAATATGCTGGTGGCTGCCTCCTCTATCCTCAGTGGAAGAACCAGGGAAAACCAGTCTCCTTCCTCTTAATTTAGCCTTCGTTCAATATCGCAGTCCCTTGCAAAACTCCCTCGCTCTTATCCCGTTGAGGGAAGTGTTCCCGTTTGGATCAGCAGCTCTTGTCTAGCCAGGTGGAGCGCTGCCAGGCTTTGTCACTAAGCTTTACAAGCGGATGCTGTCGCAAGGCCAAGCTGAATCTTGCTTGGAGTAGTGGTTGAGAAAGTTATGTCACTGTGTTGAGATGAACTTGGGAAACGTAAGCACAAGTGCCAGTTCACGCCTGCTTTTGCTGTTGCATCTCCTTGACTCTGAACCTGCCAGGCATTTTCTTTTCCATGCAATGTAGAGGAATTCTGAAGGAATTTTGTGGGATTGTGGGTACTGAACAGTTTTATTTGTGGTAGACTGGTTGAATATTTTATAGCTCTCTGTTCCCCTTAATGGAAATACCCCAGGTGACCCAGTTTCTGTGTGGTATCACACCCGGGCACCCAGCATATGTGGGAAGAGGGACAGAGAGGAGTTAAGGTCTTCTAAGAAGAACTATATGGAGCCAGTGAAGCTGCAACCTGCAGCACCTCGGATTGCTGAGGAGGGAAAACAGAGTGGCCATGTGGAGCCATCCTGGGCTTCTGGGGCTCGTGCAGCAATTCCAGGCAGTGAGGACAGTAAATGAGGGTGCAGTCCCATGGGTGCCCATCCCCGCTGCCCAAACAGCGAGTGCTGCAGCGTTGCAGAGTGCTGCAACGTCTGATCTTTGCTTATGTTTCAGCGCTGGGGTCAAAAGCCTGGAGGAACTTTGCCTGCAGGTGACGGATCTTCTGCCGGGCCTGAGGAAGCTGCGGAATCTGCTCCCCGAGCACGGCTGCCTCTTGCTGTCTCCGGGGAACTTCTGGCAGAATGACCGCGAGCGCTTCAACGCTGACCCAGACATCATCAAAACCATTCATCAGCACGAACCAAAGACATTGCAAACATCAGCTACGCTCAAAGGTAGGAGGCCGAAGAGCTGCTGAAGCTGGTGGGAATCTGCCTACAGGTTGTGCTACTGGTTTGTCCTCGCTTGGTCCAGTGTCTGTAGGTTGCCAACATAACCCAAATGGGCAGTGTTCCCAGCAGCTGGAAAGAAACTACCCAATACACTTCATTTCTCTTTCTGCATCTGTATTTGGACTCAGTTTTGAAGTTGCAGCAAGTGAATAATTCTGTTCCCTCAGTCTCTGTTCTGTAGGAGTAAAAATAACAGGCAATTTACCTGTCTCCCTGTTCCTGTTCCTCTACATAAGCTCTTTTCCTGGTGCTCTTGGAGTGATGCTGGCTGTGGTATTCAGACTGTCCTGTTGTCACAGATGAATGAATATTTGCCCTGCTCCCCCTTAGGCTTTCACTCATACTTGCCTGCAAATGCCGCAAGTGGATTTTAAGTCTGCATTTTAGTGCTAAAGTTTAACAGCAAAAGTATTCCATGGTCTTTGCAGCAGAAAGTCTTCCTGGAACCTCTGGTTCAGATCATACATGGACAGAAACCTCAGCCTTCTCTTTCCCAGGTTAAGCAATCCCAACTCTCAGCCTCTCTTTATACCAAAGATGCTCGAGTCCCTCGATCCACTGTTTGGCCGGTAGCTGGACCTGGTCCATTGAACGCATCTTCTTGCGCTGTGGAATCCAGCACTGGACACCTCATTCTGAGCAGAGGGGGAGACCACCTCCCTTGACCTACAGTCACTGCTGGCTGAGGATCAACTTAGCACCCCCAGTTCCTGCTCTTCAGAGCTGCTTTCTGTCCAGGTCCCTTCCAACCCCAACCAATCCGTCAACCAAATGCTTCATATAAGAGGAGTCTTGCAACATTCGTGGCAGTGGGCGCTTGTTTCTCATCTCTTGTTGTTGTTGTTTGGGTGTTCTCATGCTTTGTTCCTGTTTTGTTTTTGCAGATCTGTTGTTTGGACTCCCTGGGAAGTACAGTGGGGTGAACCTCTATAACAGGAAGCGGGTGGTATCATACACTGTCACCCTGGGGCTCCAGCGCTATGATTCTAGGTAAGGAGCTAGAGCTCTGTTATTTTTGTGTTAGGGCTTCTTTGTTTCTCGGAAATATTGCTGTTTACTCTGCTTATTGCTATGTTTTTTCTTTATCCCCCCTTTTCTTGTATTTTAGAGAATTCTGATATAGAGAAGCAGAGCGCTATTTTGGGAAGGGAACTTGCTGTGTTTAATGGAGATGCATTACTCAGTTCTCAGTTTCGTTTTTAGAAAAGTACATGTAATAGTCCAAGCTGCTAGTGGGAGTTCCACTGGGATGGCTGCTTCTGCCCACGGAGCTGTCAGAGCTGTAAGCCCCAGGCAAAGCCCAGTAGGTCTGTGTTTGATCCGGCTCCTGCTTCATGGACTTTGAGTACTTTCCTTTCCAGTAAGTGCTAATTCAGGCACCACCCGTGAAGCCCCTTTAGCAGTGTTGGCAAAGCTGGCTTGGATTGAGTGGTCTGAAGGGTAAGTGCTCTGCTGCGTGCTGCGCAGAATTCCCCAAGGATTCGCCTAGGATTTGTAGCACAGCAGTTGAGACTTGCTCTGCTGCTGCCCGTGCAAGAAACCTTCAGCCTCGAGGACTCTTGAGTAGCACCTTTCATGAGCTCTGCTTATGTACAGCTTGGGGGATGTATGAGACTATGTGCTGAGGATGCTCAATTCCCCAGAGCCAGGATTTTTGATGGCAAGGCCTTGCTTTACACAGTTTGGCTGAGTCTTTGTGCTTCTTAGCATTGATTCTTCTTGGCAATGCAGCTCTCTGAGATAGCCACAGATGCGGTGAACGTAGTTTAAGCCAGAGAGGAAGAGACTTAGCAGTCAGGCCTAGAGAGAACTGTGTTTTGCAAGTCTGTATAAAACCATAAAGCATCTTACTAATTGTCCTATAGCCGTAGAGCTCCTCCTTGGAATTGCTTGCTGCTTGTTTGGTACCTCATCGGGCTCATCCTTCTGCCCTCTTCTCACCCCAGGTTCCTCAGCAGCCTCCGCGCTCGCCTCAAGCTGCTCCATCCCAGTCCTAACTGCACCCTGCGAGAGGAGAACATCGTTCACGTGCACTTCAAGGAAGAGATCGGCATTGCCGAGCTGATCCCCCTTGTCACCACCTACATTATACTCTTCGCTTACATCTACTTCTCCACACGTAGGTTTGTGGGCTGGAGCACCCCAAGGGCACAGCAAGCTGAATAGGTGGCCTGCGTGCCCGCCGGGGGGACATGTGTGAGGTGTTGGGGTGCCTTTTCTGCCACTGCATGTAAAGGTTGAGTCCATAGCACTGCTGTCCCCTCTCCTTTCTCCTTTCAAGGTGATGCTGAAGTATCACCATGGCAGAAACCTGGCATGTAGCGAAGCAATGGTCCTATTTATTTGATTTCCATTAAATTTCTTTGCAGCAAGTGCTGTATTTTTCCTCGTGACACCTTTTCTGGTGGTTGCATGGTTCCTGCGTGTTTAAGGGCATGGTAATGACTTTTTCTCCCCTTTGGAGAGACTAGTTGATGCTCAAGAAGATCAAGCACATGTTCTGACCTTTCGGATTTAGCCCTCAGTAGCTACTTTTAAGCTCCTTTCATTCATGCTGCAGTAGTGCTGTGTATGGAACTAGTCTGAGCTGCAAACCATGCTTTCCACTGGGGCCCAGTCCTTGCTGCAGAACCTCTTTAGCAGCCTCTTTGTCCCTTTAGTGTCAGGTACAAAGTATCTGGGAGCTACTGAGACTGAACAGCATCATTTCTGGGCTGCAGGGTAAAAACCTACGTGCTGAAATAAGGGAGCACGAGGATCCCTTGCACTTGATTTTATGTATTATGTGTACGGCGTTTTCTTTGGTTTGCTAATAGAGATTTGCCTTCTGTTTTTCAGGGAAGATTGACATGGTGAAGTCGAAGTGGGGCTTGGCGCTGGCAGCGGTGGTGACAGTGCTCAGCTCCCTGCTCATGTCGGTCGGCCTGTGCACGCTCTTCGGCCTCACGCCTACCCTGAACGGAGGGTATGTTTTCCAGAGCTGATCCTCTCCCCAGAGAGGAGCACCTGGGGGTAAAACCATTTGCAAACAGCTGTTCATTGCCTGCTGCTTAAAATCTAGCAGTTTCCAAGCAAGTTCCTGTAATGTTGTGCGGTTGTTATCAGCCCCTCCTGAGCTGAAGGGCCTTGTGTTTCTCTGCTTGCCAAAAAGTAGCCTTGACTGCTTTGGAGGGCTGTGTTATTGCTTAGCCATGGCCCTGCGCTGCTGGGAGCTGAAAGAATTATTGGGACAACCTTTTAGTCATAAACTCGGTTTGTGCCTTTGCCCCCGTCACTGCGGTTTGTCAGGTCTTCCCTTGACAGGGTTGCTGTTTATGTCACAGTCCATGTTTGTGCTGTTTGATGGAGCTACTGAAGTTCTTTATATTTGTGTTAAATAGTACAGCAAGAAAGCTGCAGTTAGCACCTCTCCCCTACCAAATTCCTCACAGTGCTCATTTCACAAGTGAATGAATTAAAGTCGACTTCAGGATCTTTCTTTTGATTTTTCAGATCCCTTTTCTAAACAGTTAAGGCAGCATCCTCCGTATCTCTTCCCATCTTCCTTCCTCCAGCTTTATATATGGAAATAATAAATGTTTGACCGATGAGGGAGACTCCTGAAAGCTGGTGATAATTTACCAGGAAGCAGAATTAGACTGAGGAATTTATCTCCTAGAAACTAAGCAGGTCTATGAACAATTGGATTCAGAAACTAAACTATTTGTTCCTGTTTTTATTACTGTGGTTTCTATGAGCCTTATTTGTACCTCATGGCCATGTTCTATTGTCCAGCTGTCCACCTGGAGCAGACAGGTTTGATATAAGAAAAAAGACAATATTTGGATGTGGGTGTCACAGGGCTAAATCAATCCAATTGTTCCTCCTATAGAGTGATAGAAAGAAAGGATTAATTCAGTCCTTACTTCTAAAAGCAGATTTCCTGAATTTCTGTGCCTGAAAATGATTGCTCTGACACTTTCCTTTGGGATAGAACCTTCATTCTTGCAATATTTTATAAAAAACTTCTAATTCGACGGCAAGCACTTGAATTCTGTGGTGCTTGGGGTCTTAGGGTACTGAAGGTGAGGTCTCATTGACTTCCAGGGAGTTTGGGCAAGGGAGCACTCTTTTATTGGGTTAATTCTACTCTTTTTACAAATAACCATGTGATGATAATGGTTAATATTCGTTCTGATGTGAGGACTCTGCTGTGAGATTTAACTGCTTAGTACTGTAGGCCTGTGGGCACCAAAGGGCCAAGTGAGGCACCTTAAACATTCCCTTATCCCAAAAGGACCGGAGCAGCCTTTGCATCTCCCCAAGGCTCATCCAAGGCTCCTGCTTGTTCTCAACCTCTGCCACAGGTAGGATCATGCTGCAAGAAAACAACTTGGGTGCAATGAAACCTGAGCAAGTTGTGTAGAGAACAGTTGGGATCACAGGTACCTGAGAGATCCTTTGATTCCCTAATATCTGCCACAGCATTTTTTCCTTAAGTTATCCGGTGCAGAGCTTTTCCAGACACGAGGACAGGGTGCTCTTAGTGTAGCACCAAGCCAGCGGGCTGCATTTGGCCAGGAGGGCCAGATTTGCCTGATTAAACTTTGATTCCCCATTTTTATTTTCTAGCAGGCCCTCCTACATGTGGGTGCGTTTGCTTTTAATGGTACCACTATTCGCCATAAGCCTTTTTTCCTCATTGATTTTTTTCTAAGCTCCTAAAATAAACTTGTTGCTTAGGGATCAGGGCTTGAGTCCTGTGGATATGATATATAAGCTCGACCTGAGTCATTAGTCATGCTCTGCCTGTCTTAGATAGCTTTCACTTATCATAAAACAGATTGCAGATATTAACGGAGTAAAGTAATTGTAGGAGATAATGCAATTATGCGTTATTACATAATGCAATTATACATTAGTCTTATTTTACAGAAGATAAAACTAAGCAAAGAGAGGGGACGTGATCTAGCCAAGAGTGAAAAAAAAGAATAAGTAAGAGGTTAACATTAGTATTTCTGTTGACTCCATTGGGTACTGCCTCAAGCTGTTGTGCAACACCTATTTGAAGCCCTTTTTCAATGTTTTGTTACGACAGAAAACACAGCAAGGGTCTCCTGGCATCTTCCTCAGCCTGGGTATGGAAAACCAAGCTAAGTTTCTGAGCTGTGCTTTGCAGAATGGAAACATTTGGTGTTTGTCCTGCACAGATTTACCTTGCTTTGAAGAAAAGCTAATGCCTTCATGCCTTTTAAACTGCTGGCCGTTAAAAATGAGGCTCTAATTTTAGCTCTAATTGTCAGAGCTAACATTTGCTTAGGATATTCATGTGGCAGCTCGGGTGAGTGCTAGGGAAACTATGATCACGAGTCAGCACAGGTCAGGTTAGGACCTTGAATTTACATCCTGTTCCAGGACCTCAGTAACATGGGAAAGGAGTTTGTGCTCTGTAAGTCATGGAATGGTTGTGGTCAGAAGGGATCGTTACAGATCCCTGCTCCAGGAGGGTCACCTAGAGCCCAAGACCCTGTCCAGGTGCCTTTCGACTGTCTCCAGGGATGGCAACAACACAACCTCTCTGGGCAACCTGTTCCAGCCTTCAACTATCCGCACTGTAAAGAAGCTTTTCCTTATGTTCAGGTGGAGCTCGCAGTGTTTCAGTTTGTGCTCGTTGCCTCTCACCCTGTCACTGGGCACCACTGAAGAGTCTGGTCCCATCCTCTTGACACCCTCCCTTCAGGTGCCTATAGGCATTCATAAAGTCCCCCCTTAATCTGCTCAAGGCTAAACAGGCCCAGTGGTTCCTCCTGGAGAGGTGATGGTTCCTCCATGGTTCCTCATGGGAGAGCTGCTTCATCCCCTTCGCCATCTTCATGCCCTTTGCTGGATTCACTTTTGTAGCTCCATGACTCCCTATCCAGTCTGGAATTGTCAGCACGCTTGCCGAGGAGGCTCGTTGTCCCTTCATGGATCAGTTAAACAATATGGACCTAGACCTGAGCGCTGGGGGACACCAGTTCTGAGGAGGGATCTCCCCTTCTTCAGCTGAATCCACAACAAAAATTTTCCTTCTGGATTTTGCTTCTACTCTATTTCTCTTGCAGTCGAGTCCATAAGATGGACCTTAGTGTGGCATCTCCTTCCTGTCACAGCATCTGCACTAACCTCAGTGCATTCATCTGCCTAAAGACATCTCTAGTACTCAGAGCTGTGCAGGTAACCAGAAGGGACATAAGCTGGGTTCAACTGAGCCAGCGCAATTTACTGCTGCCCAGTAAAAGGAGTGCTCATCTATCCAAGGACTAAGCCTCAGAGCTCAAGTATTGGTGTTATCTGCCTTCCCATCATTTCTAGCTCCTTCTACCTGCAGATCTGCTTGCTGAGGGTAGAAAATGATCATTATGACATGGAAAATGATCATTACTACATCTCAAGTGACAGCCTCCTCTGCGTGCTCCAGTAATACGCTATTGCTGCAAAAATCTGCACCTTGTCTGCACACAGCCCTGGCCCCTGGCTCCCGGCTCCCCGCGTGGCACCACTCCCGAGCCCGCCCGCTTCGCTGGCCTCATCTTCACCCCCTCTTTCCTGGGAGCAACCCGCAGGCATCCGAGGAAGGCTCAGGGTTGGTTTTATGGAGGTGGGAGGCTTGTCATTTGCTTTTGGGCTATTTTGGCCTGCTCTTTGTTCAAGGAATCGATTGGAATGAAGCAGCGGAGCGAGCAGCGGTTCCAGGCAGGTGTTTTCCCCCAGCTGAGCGTTTCTGCTGCGGGCTGGTGACAGCTACATGGCAGCTACAGGGCTGCAAATCCTGCTGCAGCCGATGGCAGCGGCTGGAGACGCGCAAAAGCGGCCGTGGGCCAGATGCTCCTCGAGCCTTATGGCACCAAACTGCAGTTGTTCTTCTGAAACCCTCTAATTTAGCTGCCTTTCCAGGTAGGACTTGGCCAGGAGGTGTGTATGGATGCATCACGGATCTGCACAGACCAGCACAAATCCCTCCTGAAAAGAAAGCGTGATTATTTTTGTCCAAGTTTTGCTGGAGGGAAAGCAAGAGAATTTTTGTCCTTGTTTCGTGCCAGAGCATTTCCCAGCCTTCTTCCCTCCTCCCTCTCACTGCTCTGGGCTGTGTGTGTTCCAAAACAGGAAGAAAAGGTGAAGGGCAAGCAAGAGAGCTGAACAAGGTCAGCGTGGGCACCTTGCCTGGGCTTAATCTTGGGAATGTCCTGCAAGGCACCTCCGTTGCCGGGTGTGTTCTTGAGCCTTGGGTAGAGATGATCCTCAGTGGAATTTAGTCTGTAACTTCCACAAATGTTTTGTTCAATGTGATGCTCAGCTGCAGTTCTGCAGGATTTTCGTCGATGGTGCCTAGACTTGATCTCTGTCCTTGGGTTCTGATCTTGTTTTGCTGCCTGCGGCTCAAAGGGCTCCTTTATGAAGGACTTTATGAAGGACCTTGTCGTGCACCTCTTTCTCCACCAGATGCTCTTGAGACTCTTAGAGAGTCGCTGGCCTGACCCTGCAGAGCACAGAGACTCGTGGTAATGGTCTGCAATGGCCATTTGTCAGAAAAACAAACATGCATTTACAGAAATGTTAGCATTTGCCCAAAACAGATGAAACACACCACGCTCCCTTCATCATGGATGACTCTTGCATGAGGGGGGATAGGGCTAAGAGCAATGAACAGAGTTTCCCGGCCTCTGTGGAGGCCTCTTGGCCTTGTTGTGTACTTATTGCTTAATTTGCATCCTTCCATACTTTATCATTAATGCTCCCATTCCCCATTCTGGTTCTCTTTCCTCCAGAGAGATCTTCCCGTACTTGGTTGTCGTGATCGGCCTGGAGAACGTGTTGGTCCTCACCAAGTCCGTTGTCTCGACTCCCGTTGACCTGGAAGTGAAGCTCCGCATTGCCCAAGGTGGGCATGAAAACGGGGGGTCACCTAAGAAGCTGGAGCTGGGCAACGGGGTGAATTCCAGCCTGCTCAGAGGACTGTGTGTATTGGATTGCATGGGGAATATGTGAAAAGGTGCAAATTGGAAAAAAAAATGTGTATCTCAACGTCAGAAAAGAGAGATTTTGGAATGATTCCCAGTGAACACAAAAGTGTCCAATTTTAAAGGATTCTGTGCAGTTTCTACCCTGGCAGAGAACGGGGCTCAAAAGCTCAGCAGGCTCCTAAACTTATGAATCCCTCTACTGTACTTTTACATGCTTAAACTAGGGCAGTTTTGTGAGCTGAGAGCCACCCTGAGCTCTCTTTATAGCTAACCATCATCTGATACAGACTCTGGACTCTCTAGGCCATTTAAGTGGCTTAAAAATAGGCGTCCAGAATCGATGAGATCAATTGTAGCTCCAAAATGCCTTTTTGGGGGTCTGTTAGCTGTAGATGTCTAATTCTAAAAAGAGAAAGAGCAATCCAGTGCGGAGTGCTCAGAGCTCAGCTCATGCCTGTCCCCCAGCAAGCAGCCTCTTAGTCTCTCCGCGTGGTCTTTCTCTTAGGCTTGAGCAACGAGAGCTGGTCCATTATGAAGAACATGGCCACGGAGCTCGGGATCATCCTCATCGGCTATTTCACCCTCGTCCCAGCCATCCAGGTGAGCGGGGCCCCCCACTTTGCGGGTGGCTGGATGTGACAGGGGCTCGTTGTCACTGTGAGGGTGCAGGGCTCATGCTCTTCTGTCCCCTCTGGGGACAACCGAGCTGTTTAAGAGCACGCGGCTGCCTCTCAGGGCTGCAAGCAGCTCAGACCCTCAATCCCTGCCCTCCTTGGGGGCTTTTATCTATGGCTCTTGGGATCTGCAGGAGCTTTTGGGCTTATGGTGCTGCTTGGAGTGTCTCCCTGGTGTAACTGAGAGGATGGAGGGCAAGGCAGGAGGAAGGAGCTACGTGCTTGATGTCAAGGTAGCCACAAATAGAGCAGCAAATCGTGGCCTCTCACACCTTTGCTTTAACCTATGAATCTATGAATCATAGAATCTATGGTTCTATGAATCTATGAACCTCGAGTTGCTGCCTCATGAGACAGAATGCCATCGAAGTGACGAACATGCCTTTCCCTGGGGTCGCCCTTGACTCGTGTCCGTGCTTCTGTAGCAGAAGAAACATCCCTGGGAGAACTGGACGCTCACAGGCAGGTTTATGAAGGGAGCTGTGCGGTTTGCAGCATCCTGCTCCAGCTTCAGCTCACCTCTAGGACCAGTTTTTGCCTCTTTAGAGTAGGCTGGTGGGCTTTAGAGTAGGCTGGTGGGCTTTAGAGTAGGCTGGTGGTCTTTCTGGGGCTGCGTAGTTTTGGTGGCTGCTGCTCATCTCCCATGTGCCACTTTATCCTCCCTGCAGAGGAGGAGGGAGCCCTGGGCAGGAGCCTCAGTGCCTTGATGCTGATGTGGGGCTGTATGTTCCTGTGTGCTCTCAATGCCCAGGAGAACCTCAGCCTGCTCATCCTGGAGCTAGGGGAGTCTGCGCTCAGCACCTCAGATGAACCACTGTCTTTTTTTACCTCTTTAGGTAGAAAAAGCCCAAATGAGGTTGTGTTCAGGTTGGTATGGAGACCTTGACAGCACCAAACTCAATGCGGCGCCAAGAGGGTGTCTCTTCTCTTAGGAGCCACCACAGTTGGTGCAGGAACCAACTCTGGATCTGGTCGAGACCAAACGAGAGGGCTCCTTGGGCTCGCCTGTGGCCCCACTGCAGTTACTAGGACCTGATTTTCACTCGCTTGAGTCTCTGCAGCTGCTGGCACCCCAGACACATGCAGGTCCCTCTCACCTCTGGTCCAGGTTGCTGGCATTTGGACCTCCACGTGGAGTGTCCTCACCCAGCAACACACTTAGAAGGGAGTTTAGTGAGGAGACAGGCACGGGGCATGGCAAGCGTGCTAACCAGCACCCTCTTCACCCATAAAATGGCCCATTTTATCCCTTTATACCTTTGTTTTTCTGCTCTTGTTCCTCTCCCAAGCACCTAGCTACCCTCCTTTCCCTGCCTTTGATCTACCCACTAAATATCCCCTAACAAATCTCGTGCAATCCCCAAAAAAACTCTCCACCTACACCCCATTACGTGTCCCGTGTCCCTAGGGAGCCTCCCCGTTGACTGTTTAAGGCCCTGTATAAGTAGGTGGAGGAACAGCCCAGGGCTGGATGTCTGCTCAGAGGAGGAGATGGCACCGTCTGCTCAGGGCAACGTCACCGGCTGGACCGGCTGGAGGGTTTTCGGACCCTCTGGAGAATTTTGGGACCCTCTGGAGGGTTTTAGGACCATGGATTTCGACCGTGGATGGGCCATCCTGCCTTTCCCTGGATGCTGTTTCCCAAAGGGAAGGCCCTGGCAGCGACGCTGTCCTTGCATTGCCCGGTCTGTGTCCCTGGGAGCGAAGGCCCCGGCGCAGATCCCGCGTTGGGCTCCGCTGCGGAGGCCGAGGTGCCCTTGAGATAGGCAGCGAGCTGGCACAAAGCCCCCGGTGCCCTTTGCTCCAGCTTGGCAGCGGGGCAGCCCTCGACGCGCTCCGTTACGGAGTCAGACGTGGACATGCAGCAAAGGGAGGCACTTTGGGCTGGAGGTTGTTGGGCACCCCAAGGGCTGGGATGGACCTGCTGCTCCGGGGAGCCCCGTCCCGCCCTCGCTCAGGGCTTGGCCACGGCGTGTCAGGATCCCCGTGTGAGCTTTCCAGGGCGAGTGCTCCCGTTCCTAATCCTAAGTGGAATTAAAGGCGGCATCAGCAGAATTAATCTCTGTATCTGCCGAGCCCGCCGTTCGCGGGGTCTGTGTTTGCCGGGGCGCGGGTGAAATGCGGGTGAACATCGCTTGCCTTTTACTTTTCTTCCCTGGCAGAGGGCCCTGTGTGAACATCTTCATGCATCCCTTGGGAAAGCTCCAGCCCGACGTGGGGAAGGAGCTGCGGAGAGGCAGCAGGGCCCGAGCAGCCGCTTTGGGCAGCTGCTGGGGGACATTTGGGAGCTGCTGCCCTGCGGATTATCTCGTTTTGTGCTACGCTAATCTTTAAATACCAGGCCTAGTTAAATACCAGGCGTAACACAAGCGTGTTTGAGAACAGTTTGGAGAGAAGGGGGAAGCTTCAAGGTTTGGGGGGAGCTTTGGGGCAGCCTTGGGCTCTTGTCACTTCACGCTGCTTAGCCTGGCCCCTGGCCTTGCTCCAGAGGCCGGAGCAGGCACGGAAAGGAGGAGGAGGAAGGAAAGGACCCGTTGAGGCTCCGCTCCTGCCTCCCGGGAGGCTGGATGTGTCCCGGCTCGGCACGCGAGGCCGCCGGGGGCACCAGCTCCCTCCTGCAAGTGAGAACCCGGTCCTTGCTGAGCAAAGCCCAAGGGTTTTGCTCGCACTTAGACTCTTGATCTCTCCATGTTTGCCAGCTCTTTCCGAGCTCCTGGCAGGAATTTGTCCCCCAAGGGGCAGAACTCCCAAATCCGCAGGAATTCTTGCGTTATTTTGCAGCTGTGAAGAGCAGGGTGGGAGAGGAGGAGCTGCTGGCACCGCCGGGGATTAGCAGAGCGTGGTTGCTTGGCAGGGATGAGCCGGATGCCGGCTGCCTTCCAGTTACTCCTCACATTTATTGCACGGTTCTTTCCAGCCCTGTTGCTCTGTTGGCACCTGCTGGCAAAGCAGAGCATTGCAGAGGGGTTTGGCATACAAGTAAATATGTTTGTGAACTCTCAAATGGACATTTGGAAGCACTAAACGCCTAACAATCGCCAAAAAAACACTGATAATAAGGATTGTCCCCCAGGCCTGCACTCGGGGCAGGATCTCGCTCGGTTGCTCTGCTCCTGAAGCCGAAATTCTCCTGCTGCCCTGCAGTTCCCTCCCTAATACACGTGTGTGCTGCCCGCAGGAGTTCTGCCTCTTTGCCGTCGTTGGCCTCGTCTCCGACTTCTTCCTGCAGATGTTGTTCTTCACCACGGTGCTGTCCATCGACATTCGCCGCATGGAGGTGAGGAAGGCAGGCTCCTTGCTTGCGTTTCTCCGCCCTAGGCTGCTTTGGGGGTAGCTTAGCCTTGGATTTTCAGTCTTACACAGCTCAGTTTTCTCCATGGGTAAGATCCAGGGCAATTCCTGCTTGGTTACACACACACACAGGGGTGGGAATAGGATATATGAGGAAACAAGGCACTCTCAGGGAAATCACAGAATCCCAGAAGGGTTGAGGTGTGAAAGGGCCTGTAGGGATCATCTAGTCCAAGTAGGCTGGATCTACTTGGATCCAACTTGGATAGTAGTAGTAACTATCCTACTTGGATAGTAGTAGGATCATCTAGTCCAGCCTCCCAAGGTTGAGGTGGGAAGGGGCCTGTAGGGATCATCTAGTCCAAGTAGACTGGATCTACTTGGATCCAACTTGGATAGTAGTAGTGACTATCCTACTTGGATAGTAGTAGGATCATCTAGTCCAGCCTCCCAAGGTTGAGGTGGGAAAGGGATCATCTAGTCTAGATCATCTAGCCAAGCAGCGACACCCAGAGCGCGGGGTCCCTCTCGTGAGCGTGGGGTCGTTGGGAAGAATCATGATAATGAACAGATGAACGTGATAATGAACAGATGGGGGCCAGAAGGGACCCGCGGGGGTCCCGCCGTGCCCCGACACGCGCCCTCCTCTCTGCCAGCTGGCCGACCTCAACAAGCGGCTGCCGGCCGAGGCGTGCCTGGCGGCGGGCAAGGCGAGCGGGCGCGCGGCGCGCCACGAGCGCCCGCCGGCGCTGCGCCCCGCCACGCCGCACACCATCACGCTGCAGCCCTCCTCCTTCCGCAACCTGCGCCTGCCCAAGAGGCTCCGCGTCATCTACTTCTTCGCCAGGACGCGTCTGGCACAGAGGCTCATCATGGTACGTGGTTATCCGGGGCCTTTTCCCCTTGGACACTGTCCGAACCCAAAGGTGCTTGCAGAGGGAAAACATGCCCAGAGTTTTCAGGTTGTTCCCCTGCAAGACTTGCAGGGTTCTGATATCTCCCCTCTGCACGGGTTATCTCCAGAATCCTTTGCCTGGCATCTGGGTGGTGGTAGAAGCCCCTGGTAACTGCCTTGAGATATTTTTCCACAAGCAGATTTTTAGAGCTTTAAATATTTAGGGAATTTTTAGGGAATTCAATATTTTGATGCTGGAATAAAGATGTGGAGATGTTTGGCTACACAAAACCTAGAAGGCTGGCGTAATTGCAGCGTTTAAAGCAGTTACTGCCCCAGCTTGCCCTCCCCTTCCCTCTTCTGGACCTTGCTGCTCTGTAATGGAAGGGCAGGAATGTCCCTGTCCCTTGGCTTCCACACAGGAGCAACCCAGGTGCTGGAGGGGCAGAGCCCAAAGACCGTGTCCCAAACGGGCTTGTTGTTCCCTCTGCGCAGGCTGGGACGGTGATCTGGATCGGAATCCTGGTGTACACGGACCCCGCCGGCCTCCGCACCTACCTCACGTCGCAGGTCACGGAGCAGAGCGCGCTGGGGGACGCCGGCCTGCCTGCCATGCCCGTTCCCGGCGGCGTCCTGCCCGCGGGGGACCCCAAGATCGATCTCTCCGTCTTCCCGTCGGACGCCGTGCTGCTCTCGGAGAACCAGAGCCAGCAGCGCGAGCAGAAGCCGGGGCTGGACTCGCTGAGCAGCCTGGAGACGAGCCAGCACACGTGGGCCCACGGCGCGGAGGGCAGAGGGAACGGGCCGGAGCTTGGAGCCGAGGCCGAGGTCACCTGGGGAGCCGAGGATGAGGAGATCTGGAGGAAGCTCTCCTTTCGCCACTGGCCCTCCCTCTTCAGCTACTACAATATCACGCTGGCCAAAAGGCAAGTGGGCCGGGGCCCAGTGCCCCGAGCACTTGGACATCCCCAGAGTTGCCTCCAAGGGTTCCCCCCGTCCTCAGTCTTTTGTCCTTGTGGTGCAGATACAATTTGCATTCACATTTCTCTGTAGCAAAAGAGACTTCAGAAGGAAACTCTTAAATCAGGCCCTTCTGCCGGGCTCCGCAGGGCAGCGCGTCTGAGAGCAGAGCTTCCTGCTCCTCTCTGGCACGTTACCTGCTTGTTGTCCTTCTGAGAGATGACACCTCTTGGAGCCAGCATGTTTGAAAGGCTGTGAAACAGCCCTTGTGAAACAGGGATAATACAGTAGAGAGACAGAGGTATCTGGTGAACAAAGTTCTTGGCAACAACCTCTGGCGTGCAGGAAACTGGAGCCGAGTGCTCCAAGGATCCTTCCTCACATCCCTCTGACACTCAGCTGAGCTCATTCTGCCGTGGGCTCTTGGTACCTCTTCCACAGAGGGAGGATTTAAGCTTAGCCTCGTTGGACCTGGGAAAGCTCTTTGCAGAAAGGTACTTCAACGGAGGCATTTTGTGGAGTCTTGGAATCATAGAATCCTTAAGGTTGGAAGGGACATTTGGAGATCACCTAGTCCAACCCCCCTGCACATGCAGGGTCACCTGGAGCACATGGCACAGGGTTGTGTCCAAGCGGGTCTTGAAGATCTCCAGAGAAGGAGACTCCACCACCTCTCTGGGCAGCCTGTGCCAGGGCTGTTTCACCCTCACAGTTAAGAAATTTGTCCTTAAGTTTGCTTTATAATTCCAAAAAATCCTGTCCTGGGAATGCATATATACAAATGCATCGTTTGGCTGCTGGTGGGAAGCCGAGTTGGATGAGGATTATCCTTAGGATGAGGATTATTATTAGGATTTTTCACCCTCCCGCGGTTCCTAAGCTGCTGCTGCCTTTGCCTTCCTGCAGATACATCAGCATCCTTCCCGCCATCCCGGTGACGCTGTACCTGAATCCGCAGGAGGCCCTGGAAGTGCGGCACCCCCAGGAGGCGAGGCGCTACCACCCATTCCCGGCGCCCGCCGGCAGCCCCGACGCCCAGGCGCCGCCCGAGCCAGGCCCAGCCAAGGTGCAGGGGCACCGGGACGTCACCCTCTACAAGTGAGAGCCTTGGCTCGTTGCCTTCTGTCCCTGCTGGGAAAAAGGAGGATGATGGAAAACGTTCCTGAAGCTCCCATGCCAAATCCGTAAAGCTCAGGGCACTCCAGCTCTGCTCGCATGGCACCACATTGAGGGTTCAGGGCACTGGCCCAGGTCGCTGGTGCACGTTGCACCTCGCTGCTCTGAAGGGCAGTTATTTTCCAGTATATATCGGTGACAAGGACACACAGACACGGTGACTGTACTTGGTGACTTGGCACCGGTATTCGCAGGGTGTTGGTTACCGTCCGGTAACCGTTGTGCCGTTAGTCCAAGCTTTGATGGGTCAAAACTGCGTTTTAATTGGGTGACTTGGTGGTGTTAAAACCATGTGTTATTCCAGCAACCATGTAGTAAAGGGCCTAACACCGGGCAATAAGGCCGGGACTTGTTCTTTGGGAATAAATGAATGAATGTCCCAGTTGCAGAACAATTCCTTGGGCATTTGACAAAGCTCCCATTCAACAAGGAATTCCCTTTCCTGCTGCCAGGCTCCCAGCCTGCCTCCTGCATGTACGTTCTTCAGAGGCTCTGCTGAACACATTGATCCCTATCTAGGGTTTTTTTCTTACTGCCTTAATTATTACATGCTTTTCTTCTTAAAAAGCCTAAATATCTTGTTGAAATTGATACCTTCTTATTAAAAAAACAAACCGAAACATTCAATTTTCCGGAAATGGGGATAGTTTGTTGGAAATTTTTCTCAGTTGAGAAGTGGAGCTGAGCTGATAACGAATGTCTCCGTGTCTCCCTTCAGGGTGGCCGCGCTGGGTCTGGCCGCGGGCATCATCCTGGTGCTGCTGCTCTTCTGCCTGTACCGGGTGTTCTGCCCCAAGAACTACGGGCAGAACGGGCACAGCCGGAGGAAGAGGGGGGACCTGCCCTGTGACGACTACGGCTACTCGCCGCCCGAGACCGAGATCGTGCCCTTGGTCCTCAGGGGCCACCTCATGGTAGGTCAGCGGGCACGGGTGTTTTCCTGTGACTGTTGGCGGTCAGGTGAGTGGTGGTACAGTGTAATACAGCCTTGGAGGGCTCCCAACAGGCGGACGCTGTGCGGCTGCAGCGTGGGCACCGCCGCACCAGGGTGCCTGGAGGACTTCTCTATTATATCCTGTGAAACTCCGAGTGTTTCACTGTTATCCCCATCTCAGGCAACGGTTGCCCTTCCCTAGCTGGGCAGATCTGCCCTTCTTCGGGGTGGCCTGAGGCTGCTTTTTTAATGCCCAGTGAATTGTCCTTTTCTGATGCTTCCCAAAGGCTGCGGATAAGTTTGAGCTATTAAATGTTTCCACTGTTAGAGGCATCCTCAGGTTGCACAATGCACACAAACCGTCCTGTTCCCTGTCTGTATCTGTATGAGCTGCTAAACCAGCCATGTAGTTTGGCCTTAAATTTATCATCTAGTTAGTTAGCCTTGGAGAAAGGTGGCTGTAGGAATCACAGAATCCTTAAGGTTGGAAGGGACCTTTAGAGATCATCTAGTCCACGTCACCCAGAGTGTGTAACTCCCGGTGCCGCAGGCTCAGCTCTGCTTCTTCTTCCCTGCCAGGACATCGAATGTCTCGCCAGCGACGGGATGCTGCTCGTCAGCTGCTGCCTGGTGGGCCAGATCCGCGTGTGGGACGCTCAGACCGGAGACTGTCTCACTGTTATTCCCAAACCAAGGTACGTGGCTTCTCTGCCAGCGCAGGCAAATACGTGCTGGTCCTTACGGAACTGCTGCTCACCAGCTGGGACAAACCCAGCCGTGAACAAGGAGCCAGCCCAGGGCTTGGTGCCTCTTGCTCCCCGCTGGCACCCCGCTCACACAGCCTCCTAATTCCTGCTCGCCGCCCTTGCAGGTTGCGAAGAGACAGCAGCGGCATTTTCGATTACCAGGAGAGCTGGGAGCAGAGCCCGGAGGGCAAGAACGGCCTGGATGACTCCTTGGAGAACGGCCACCAGCTCAAGAGGCTGCTGAGCCCGCCGCAGCCTCCGCTTTTCTGCGACCAGCCGGACCTCACCTCCCTCATCGACACCAACTTCTCGGAACAGGTGAAGGTGGCCGAGTCGGAGCCGCGGCTCCGCGCCGTGGGCGCCCGCCACAAAGCCGCTGGCTACGATTTCAGCAGCCTGGTGAGCAAGGTGTACGAAGAGCAGAGCACTTCCAACTGCCTGAACTTGGGCGGCCTCCCGGCCCCGCACGGCCAGGCCAGCTTCTGCGTGGGGCCGGGCAGCGCCCGCTCCGAGGAGGGAGGCTGCAGCGGCCGCAGGAGGAGCCTGGGCGATGAGGCTTGCCCTGCGTTTGACAAGGCCTCGCCCGTTTCTTCCTGGGGGGGAGACTTGGAAAGCTCCGTGTGGAGCCTGGACCTGCAGGGCAACCTCATTGTGGCCGGCCGGAGTAACGGGAAGCTGGAGGTGAGCAGGAGGGGACGGGCGGCTCTCAGCGTTTGGGCTTCATTCCTGTTCAGAACAGAACAACTATCAGGTTGCAGAGTCTACTCTGACTTGCAATCAGTTTTTTAATGTATTTGAGGCAGCGTTTCCTTGGAGCGGAACAGAATCATGGAATCATGGAATCCTTAAGGTTGAAGGGACCTCTAGAGATGACCCAGTCCATGCCCTGCACACGCAGGGTCACCTGGAGCAGGTGGCACAGGGTGGCACCCAGGCGGGTTTGGGAGGATCCCCGGAGCAGGAGCCTCCCCAGCCTCCCTGCCCAGCCCATCCCAGGGCTCTGGCACATTCACTGTCCAGAATTTTTTCCTTAAGTCCCTATGGCACTTTTAGTGCTTCAGTTTGTGGCCATTTCCTCCATTTCTATCAGTAGCCACCACTGAAACGAGGCACTTTTTGCTCATCTTCTTTTCTGGTTCTTGAGTGACAAATATTTTATTTCAAAGGAGCTTCTCAGTGCAGGGAAAAAGATATTTTAGTTGGTGTTAAACTGGAGCAGCCCTCGCTGAGACTGACGGAGCACCAAGACTGGCCTGGCAGTGGGCAAAGCTGCCGCCCGGCCCTGCCACAAAGCGGGCAGGAGTTCCGCAGGAATTAGTATCGATTTTCAAGTACATTCTAATTGGATTTATAAATCTCCTTAAATTCAATTGTCCCGTTCAAATGTCTAATCAGAAACTTCCAGAATTAATTTAGCTAAATTTAAAATTAGATTTTTTCACTTTGAAAATAAACGCGGGGTTTTTTTTTTTTAGTAAATGCATTTTCAAATTAAATTTTCAGTGATGTTTGGCCTGTTTTTCCTGAGCAGCGTAGGAACAACTCGGGCTCTTCCCTCTTCCCACAGGGCCACAGGCCGGAGATCTCACTGCATTTTTTCCCCTTTTTTTCAAACATGTTTTGGAGCTCAGGGCTTCCCGGGCTCCGTCTTAAGCCCCAGCGCGAATCCTGGTTCCAGTCATCCTGAATCAGGGATCAGGTCCCCGATCAGGTCATCCTGGATCAGGTTCCAATCATTCCTGGATCCAGGAATCCTGGTTCCTGGGGCTGGGAGTGAGGAGGGGCTCACGAGGGCCCCACTTCCCCTCCCTTCCCCTCCCAGCACAAAACCCACTTCAAACTCCACAAAATCTTGACTAAAATACCATTTATTGGCATGAACTTGAGAAGATTTTTGCTCTTTGGAGCCCATATGGGATTTCCGTAGAGGGAAGCGATTGTGTCCATGGGATCTGGCAAAGAAAGGGCTGCTCACATGAGCTGGAAACGATGCCAAGCGGGAGCTGCCGGCACCTCGCTGCTCCGGCCGCGTTTGTCCCGGAGCCGGGAGGCTCCCGGCGCCGCCCCCGCGTTCCCGGGGCGCTCCCGCGGCCGGTGACGCTTCCCTGCTCTTCCCAGGTGTGGGACGCCATCGAGGGCACCCTGCGGAGCAGCAACGAGGAGGGTCAGTCCGGCATCACGGCACTCGTGTTCCTCAACAACAGGTATGGGCGGCCCGGCCGGTGGCCCTTGCCGGGGGGAGGACACGGGGTGGCAGCTCTGATGCTCCTGCCACCATGGAGCAGATCCACGTGGGAACGGAGGCAGCTGGGCAGCCTCTTCCTTGCCCTGCGGCCTCCTCTCAGGCAGAGCGTGGCAGAGCCAGACTTTGCAGGTCTTGTGCTGCAGACCTGGTCTGGTTTTGGACCCGCATTCCATCATTCCGGTAGCTGAATGTCCAGAGTTATTCAGGGCTGGGAGATGGAGCCTTCGGGTTTCCTCTTTCAACGCGTTTTTGCTGCTGTCCCAAAGACATTCCCAGCCGCTGCTTTGTTTGGGGTCCCACAGCGTAATTCCCAAGCTCCTGAGGAGTGTCCCAGCACCGGGGTGGCCCTGGTGGCCCCGGGCAGCGGGACGTGGCCGGGGCTGGTGCGTCTCCTCACCCCGGCCTTCCCCCCAGGATCGTGGCTGCCCGCTTGAACGGCTCCTTGGATTTCTTCTCGCTGGAAACACACACGGCCTTGAACCACCTGCAGTTCCGAGGTGAGCAGGCGCCGCGGAGCCTTCGCCTCTGCCTGCCTCCCATTCCAGTAGCTCCACCCAAAAACAAGCCCCCAAAGGCCAAAGCTCCCGTGTGGGGTGCCAGGGAGGTGCCATGGGGAAGTGAGGAGACCTTGGGGAAGGGAAGAACCACGGCTGGTGGTTCTGCAGAGCTGGGGAGCTCGGCCCCGGCCTCCTTGGCCTCCCAGTTCTGGCTCCAGCTCTGGGCCAGGTCCCACTTTGGGCACCCCGAGCCCTGGGTGCTCCGCACGTAGAACCAGGCTTGGACAGAAGCGTCTCCTGGTTCAGTGTCCATGAAGGCCCGGCGGGTCCGGCCGGGCGGAGGCGGCCGTGGCCGCCCCGGCGCGTGCTGCTCGCAGCCGCTGAGCCCCACGTGCCGCCCGCAGGCACCCCGAGCAGGAGCAGCGCCGCGGCGGCGCCCGCGCCCGCCAGCAGCGACGGCGTCCGCTGCCAGCTCACGCACACCGTGTCCTGCGCCCACCACAAGCCCATCACGGCGCTCAAGGCCGCGGCCGGGCGCCTCGTCACGGGCAGCCAGGACCACACGCTGCGGGTAGGGGGGCTGCTGGGCCCCGGGGGGCTCTTTGGGGGGGACACGAGTGGGGGGCACACCCGGCTCCAGGACCCTGCGTCGTTGCTGCTGGAGGCCGATGCCGGCCGCTCCGGTGTCCGCACCCGCGGTGCCCACCCGGCTGCCCGCGGCACCGCGAAAGGTCTTGGCATCGCGCTCAGAGCTTGCGAGGCTCTTGCTGGGGGGGCAGGGGGGCTCCTGGGGAGCGAGGCCGGGGGCTGCAGGGCCCGTCCTGCCCTTGAGGACGGCCACTTCACCTGGTGGGAGGCACCCGGGCCTAGGGAGGCCGTTGGCCTCCGCACCGCATTGTCCGGAGAGGCTGCGGGGCCGCCAGCCCTGCGGCTACGGGACCCCCCGCGTGGAAGCGGCCCTGGGCACTCGGCTGCGAGGCTCCGTCACCAGGACACGAAGGGCCGGGATGTCCCTTCCCTGTGGCGCGCGGTGGCCCCGGCAGCCGCCTCACGGCTCCGTGTCCCCCGTCCCTGTCCCCTCCCCGCAGGTGTTTCGCCTGGAGGACTCGTGCTGCCTCTTCACGCTGCAGGGCCACTCGGGGGCCATCACCGCCGTCTACATGGACCAGGTGGGTGCAGGGCAGGCTCTGGCTGTGCCCTCCACAGGACCCCGGAGCTGGGCAGTCCCGGAGAGCAGAGCCAGGCGCCCGAGGCCGGAACCGGCCCCGTGCGGTCCCCCCGACACCCCCTCCTGGGGAGGGTCTCATGGCCTTGGGGGGTGCCCCGTGTGCGCGGGGCCGCGCGGGTGCAGGACGGGCTCCCTCCCCGTCCCCTGCAGACCATGGTGCTGGCGAGCGGCGGCCAGGACGGGGCCATCTGCCTCTGGGACGTGCTGACGGGCAGCAAGGTGAGCCACATGTACGCCCACCGCGGGGACGTCACCTCGCTCACCTGCACCGCCTCCTGCGTCATCAGCAGCGGCCTCGACGACGTCATCAGCATCTGGGACCGCAGCTCGGGCATCAAGCTCTACTCCATCCAGCAGGTGAGGCTGGGGACGTGGTGGGGGGCAGCAGCCCCCGGGGGGGCTCCCGGGGGTCCCGCTGACTCCCGCCCGCCGCACAGGAGCTGGGCTGCGGCGCCAGCCTGGGCGTCATCTCCGACAACCTGCTGGTGACGGGCGGCCAGGGCTGCGTCTCCTTCTGGGACATCGGCTACGGGGACCTGCTGCAGACCGTCTACCTGGGCAAGAGCAACGAGTCGCAGCCGGCGCGCCAGATCCTGGTGCTGGAGAACGCCGCCATCGTGTGCAACTTCGGCAGCGAGCTCAGCCTCGTCTACGTGCCCTCCGTGCTGGAGAAGCTGGACTGAGCGCGGGGCCTCCTCAGCGCTGCCTCCTCCTCCTCCTCTGCTGCCTCCCGAGGCGGCAGCAGCAGCCGGGGGGGCCCGCCCGGGGCAGGGGGGCTGCCAGGGCCCGGAGGGGCGTTCAGGGGGCGGCAGCTCCGCGCCGCAGTCCCGCCTGCCCTATTTATTTATGTGCTGTATATAGTTATTTATTACGGCAGGAGCCCCGGCAGCCTCCCGCCTCGCTCCTTAGCCCGGGCTGCAGCAATAGCACCTTCCTCCTCCTCCTCCTCCTCGTGCGGGGTCGGCGGGGGAGGAAGGAGCCTCTTCTCAGGTTGGGGCCTCTGTCCGTCCCCCCGCTCCCCAGGCCGGGGGCGGAGGCAGCCCCGGGGAGGAGGCAGCGGAGGCCGAGGCGGGAGGCCGAGGCCCCGGAGCGGCTTCAGCCCCTGCCCGCGCGTGGCCTTAGCCCCGCCGTGCGCTTTGGACCGCGCGGCGGACGCTTTTTTGTACCGGACTCTCCTTTTATACCGTGTACCGAGACGCGGGCAGTAAACGCGACTAACAGGAGCGGTGCCGCGGCCTCGCTGTCGCCGCCGGGCCCCGCGGCGCCGGCTCACGCCTTTATTGGAGCAGCCAAGAGTCACTGGGGAGCTGGGGGGGGGCGCCCCCGGGCCCCCATTACACCCGCACGGCCCCGGGGCCGAGGCTCCTGCACCCCCTGCCCACCGCCCCCAGCGCCGGGCGCTGCCGCCCGCCCCCCTCACGTCTTGTTGAGGCTCCAGAGCGGGTCGAGGAGGCTGAGGGGGTCGTCGGCGGCCGGCGGCCCGCGCAGCCCCTCGCCCGCCTGCGCCTGCAGGAAGTTCTGCTTGTTCATGCGCTGCTTGCCCTTGAGCGCCGCGTCCAGCGTGAAGGCCTCGGGCGTGAGCGACGCCAGCAGCTCCAGCGAGGAGGAGGAGGAGGAGGAGGCGGCCGAGGCCGCAGCGGGGACGGGGGCGGCCGCGGGCGCCGCCGCCGCGGGGGGCAGCTCGGCCACGTGGTTGCTGCTCTC